AAAACCCCCATCGAAGTTCCGCAAGTCTGACGACTTCGCAGCTCGTTAATAAAATCAATTATAACCAAAGGCGGCAAAAAATTAGCAAAGTCGTTTGAGGATGTTCGCGGGAATTTTAGATTAACGAACCCGATATTGAACTTTGCGTTCGAGTGTTACTACTGCTCATTAGTTTCACAAAAAAGGCACCATATCTCTCTTAAAGTAACATTTAAATACCTTTTGTACTTTTTCTTTTATATTATTTCATTACAAGAGAGAAAAAGATCTAATGTGTGTAAAATTAATAATACTTAAAAAATTTAGTTTTTATATGAATATGAAAGAAATTTAATTTTTTTACTTGATTCTAAGATAATTTAATTAGACTAGAATAATTTTTTGCATAAAAGAGAGATATTGTGTTAGTCTTATATTTTTTAGATTCTATTATTAACGAGGAAGTAACTGGAATAAAACAGAAAGAAAATATACGACTTCTGGAGATCCTTTTTTATGAGCAATACATTGTTAATTCAGCTTCCTGTTTTCTAGCTCAAGTTTCCGATCCCTCTCTTATCTCGATGCAAGTAGAGATCGGAAAGAAATGATTATTTCTCACCCCCGTCCATATCCGCGAAAGCGGGACGGCTCGATGGTTCGATTGCATTCGATGAAATCGCCTGCAATCGTACGACGAAATAGATTCGAAGTAAATTGGAAATGCCTTCTTGCGGTTTTTCTAGTTTTTATTTTTATATACAAATATTAGAATATAGACAGATGAAGGAGCGGAGCTAAGACTCCGCTATATGTAAAAATATAGTTTTTCTATAATAACTATATTTATATTTTTCAAAAAATTCAGTCCATTGTTCGAGATAAAATAATTAGGTATCGCCCGTTTAGATTCGAGTGTACCTTCGATAACGAATTTTTACAAACTATTGCGATCATGATTATTCTCCAGAATATCGATTCCGGACAGAAAGTTACATCCTATCGAGTGTCTTCGACGCAAGGAAACGCGTATAACATCGTTCCACGTGCTACATGTAAGAAATACAATAGTTTTCTAAGTACGACATTTTCTTGAAAGCAGTCAATCGGAAAATCGCGTACAATAAAAGCAAAATGCCGTAAAATAACATATTCTTTAAATCAACAAAACAAACTTTGTTATAATGCATATGAGAAAAGTTTTTCTTATAATTTCATATATTCGAAAAAGAGTATCGTATTTTGTCAATTTTAAAAAAGATGGGTCGTGTATGTAGTTTCTGAAATTTTTAAAATTTTGTTTAGGAAAACCTATCTTCTCATTTCATGTCTTTGTGTTTTATTCTTTTCCGTTTTTCATTTTGCGGATCGAAGAAGCTTACATGAGCATTTCGCTTGATATCGCGAAATTTTCCTCGACGGATATAGACCGTTTAAAATGGTTCGCATTTTCATTATTTCGACGACATTATCCCAATTTTGCTACCGAGAGCATAAATGCGTTTAATTATGGTACAAACGCACGTCCTACTTTCGCGAACGGCTTATCAGAAAGGGGCAACATTTCCATTAAATAGATCACACATTTTGGCTTGAAATTTTCTACGGTGTGTAGGAAGGCGTGAAATTGCTCATCACACGGGATACGCAGCGGTCTGTTGCAGCGCGATGAGAGAACACGAAAAAACGTAATTGCAAATAATTAAAAGCACTCGGGACATTTTCACGACCGCTCCCGAAGGAGTCTCGAGAATGTTTCGTCGAGCTGAATAGCCGGAACGTGCTGCTAACACCGGGACCACCGGTTCCCGCAATTCTTTCCTGCGGTAGCGTCACTCGGAAGTCTTTCGACGTGTTACGGCGGCGTGTTAGAAACCCACCGACGTTAATACCTTTTCGTCTTTTAACCCACAATCCTACCGACCATCGGTTTGGTTTAACCGAGAGAGAATTACAAGGAGGGTAATTAAATATTTCCGCGAAGAGCGACGAAAGTCATAAACAGCGGCGGTGTAACAAGGTTATTATGGCCGTTGGTCCATCGTGGTTATCAGGTTTACAGAGGTGTACTTCCGAGATCTCCGAGACTGTCGGTCGCGGAAACCTCCTTCCGATGCGGGAAGCTCATCGCCGGTTTAATTATACAACGCCACATTAAACTGTTTCAATTACAGACCGAATATACTAATTTGACGGTGCCGACAGAATTAAGGATCGTGTTTCTCGTTCTCAAAATAAAACTACAGCGCAATTCTTGTAATTTTCGCTTCGTCGATTATTTGCAGAAATTACACGAATATTATGGATCGGATGAAAATCCGATTCACATGTCGAGAGTATCAAATATACACCAGGCACTTGAGAGTTGAGTTTCGCGAGAACCGACGCGAATCTGTAATGCGTGCGGAACGGGAATAAATGCGCTTCGCAATCTTTATCGCACGGTACGTTATCACTTTTGCATCCTACGTTTCGCATTTCGTATGCAGCATCCATTTGCGCGGATCTTTAAGCGTTAATATCGGACCGAGATAATCGCGCAATTTGAGTACAATCGAGTCATCTTATCTGTCGCATTTATCGTCGTTTGTATATGGATAAAATTCAAACTCGGCGTTCTCCGATCTCTCTTGGAAACTTGACGTACAATTTTCCCGGTTTTACCAACGACACGTGGCGTTCGTTGCCCGCGGGTCGCGCGAGACACTTCTTTTTCGGGCCGGAGCAAGAGGGACGAGCTATTATTTGGCGCACAATGCGACCGACGAGGCTTTCTCTCGTTATCGGTAACGAGTTGCCTTCGGCTCGCCGACATCGGGGAAATCGCTGGCGCGCCTCTTCTCCGATGTCTTTTATCGGAGCCACTTTCAAGAGTTTCTCGGAGTTTGCTCGTGGAATCGGTGTCCAGAACGGAATCGGAGTTCGGCTTTCCGGAGGAAAGACGTGTTTCGCAGCGGCGAATGGTAATTATTACTTAAGATTTACTTAGTCGGATTGATTTTCCCGGCGCGATATAACTGGACACACACACATATATCGTTCCCCAAAATATAATTTTTTAAAGTTATATTTTACTTTACATAAGCGTTATTTGTAATGATACATTTGAAAATATATCAGTATTTAAACAAGAAGTAACGATGTAAACATAGTAAATTTGAAACTCTCTGCGTGCCGGACATTAGATACATCGATATAGATACTCCCATGGCAAATAAACGCTAGTGTACATATTTGTACACGGACACGCACGCGAAGTAGGAATACACGGAAGTAGGTGGAAGAGACACACGAGTTTGTACCAGAGAACCGGAAATTCCTATCTACCCTCCGGTAACCCGAGGAACCCGGGGACCAACAGACACAGGCCACTCTCCCGAGTAAATTTCATTCTCCTTGCGTCTCCTACCGATGCACCTTCCACTTCATTCTCTTGAGTTTCTTTTTCATTTTCTCCTCTCCATTAACGTCTTTTCTTTTCTGCGCTCGCAAAACTTTCTCATTATCTTGGCGAAAATGCGCGACTTTCTTTCTAAGACTAGTATGATTCAATTGGTTCTTTTTTTTTTTTTATTTTGGACAAAGAAGCGCGATTTCGGTGGGGACCCCGATAGACTGGCGAATCCTATTTACGCTATGTTATCTGGTTATTTTTAATTCTCGTTGCATTGTGAGTCTGATCTTATTTTTATTTATTGTACATCCCATCTTTGTGGAATTGGTCCATGAAATACCAAGCGGCATTGCTCTCCAGTTTTTAACATTACATAGTGCGTATTGTAAAATTGCGAAAAAGTTCCAAAAATACTTTTTATTCAATAAATAACTTTTGTAGATTCTGTTTGATAGTATATAAATAAAAAATGAAATAATAATTGTTATGAAATCTCTTGATTATTATATTAAATTCCAAAAATCATTTATTTTTACTCTCGCTAAATACATGTCGACAATATTACTCTTGCGAAATAAAAAATCGATTAATTGAATACTCGCGTAATAGAATTGTCGGTGGTAAATATATGTACGGATGCAACACGTCATAGCAAAACGGACAAGACGGACGTTCCTTTGATGTCTAATTGCTGATGTAATTAGAACCACGCCCGGCCATACAAAGTCGGCCATGTGCGTCGTTACGATGACATTGCTCTCGCCGGCTATAAATTCACGTTGTACTATACCACGGTCAACGATTATATGATGGAATTCAAGTTATTTGTTGGATTTTTGACTCTCGGCATTTTTCGCTGCTCGTCAACGTGACAAAGAGGCGGGCGGGATACGTGAGAGCACAGACGCGTCATTCTACTGGCTTTCGTCAGAATTTTATGAGGGAAGTTTTCGCGCGGACTTTTGTTGCATTCGGAAACGTAACTATTATTTTTCTTCTGATCTGACATCAAGAATTTTTGCCATGAGTACAGCGCATTGATATCTCAAATTCGTACGATGTCGTTACAAACGCACATTGTTTTAAGACTAATATTAATTACGTTAATTAAATCGTAGTTTTCTAATATGTCAGCTATATGAGATTTTCATATATTTGCAAGAGTTTTCCTCTCTATTTTCCTCTCTCTCGTGGACGCAAATTACACTAGTTTCGCACATATATTTTCCGTTTGTAGCTACTTTGTGAAATATTGCGGAAACAGAAATGGCTACGGGCATAATACACATTTCATAAATCCACTATGTATAATTCACGAGCACAGATAAATTAAAAAAATAATGACAAACAAAATAATATTATTTCATATTTATTGCAAAACTCAAACTTTCTGCGTTTAGATTAAGAGAGTTATTAAGATAGTTATGAACAACATATTTCGCCGCAATTAAAGACCATTGAAATTAATAATCTTTCTTAAGAATAATTATACTGCAATAAAATTAATTTATATATACAAAAATATCGAGAAAATATTTTAAGAAAAATCCATACATTTCGGTGATCTGCGTTAAATATCCTGCGATTTGTTGAAATGTGTCCGGTTTATACGTAAAGCTTAACTTACCCATCTATCAATGGCACGTCTCTGAGAATTCTGCGAGCTGCCGCGAGGCGATCCCCTGCGTGGGCCGCGAGCAGAATCCTCGTCAGTAGCTGACCAAGGACCATCATGCCCACCACCATCCTCATCCTCCTCCTCGCTGGACCCGCAGCACGTCCTTACTAATGTCTTCATGCCATCACCGTTAACCCCACCGGCTCACCCGCAGCACTTCCTTCAACCGGGTTGCAGGATGACCGAACGTAACAGGATTCTTCGTCCCGATTGTGTGTCTAGTTAATTTTCTCGGAAAGATTATTTAACGCGATCATTCTTCACCTTGTTTTTAAGATGAATTTTTTATCGCGACGGCGATCACGATTTATTGCGATCTCTCGAGATTTTTTCAAAAACTCTCAGATTCGATTCTTCAAGATCTTAATAGTTCTCGGGGATCAAGAAGAGATCGCACCGGCAATATTTTTCACTGATGAGATCTTTTGAATCACGCACTCGATTTTATCACCGCGCACGTGGAAGCCGCTTTCTCTCTTTCCTCGCTAGGATAACAGAGTTCAAGGATCAGTGCTTGCTTGCCTCTTCAGAACTGGCTCTTATCTTTGGCGCATTCGTCTTCGCACATCCCCGAGCCCACCCCAATTTCTCACATTCAGCCGGCTCGAAGGTCCACTTTTTTTCACCGCGGCGATAGCTACTCCAAGCCCTCTTTTCCCCTTCGTTCTACTCCAGCTTTCAGATTAACCTTCCACCCTCATCGCCATAGACTCTGTCCGATGCAGCTGCTGTCTCCGCGCTTCTTATTCCGTCTGGTTGCGCCTCTTCCGATTTCTTGTCTCTGCGGCCAGAATATCTCTCTTTCTCGCTCGTCAGCTACTCGTTCCGCCACTTAATATCTTAGCGCCGCAAAATTAACGGTTTTTTTAATGCAACCGTCGATCTTTGAGATCGTGACGCATTTTGATCGATTCATTTGATTGCTACCGTAGCTTGAAATTCTTTTGGCCACTCTCGGAATTAATTTTCCGAAGCGTGCTATTTCGGATTTGCCATTTATCACTGTTGCTACTCACTCGAACGTCTGCGGTTTGATTCGTTGCCGGCATTCATTTTCATCGATTGAGAAACCAATTGCCTGACGAGCACTTTCTTGAACTATTCGTAATCATCTACGAGATGTATATATTGTGCTTTTCTCACTTTGATTCCATCCGTTGCAAATTCTTTGAAGGCGAAGATGACTATCGAAGCACCGAGTCGCCTCAGGGATTTGCCTCGATAGTTTGATCAGGAATAGGTTTTCAGAGGTTTCTCCCGCTTCTGTCGTCTTTCTACTAGTCTCTAAGGATTGAAGGTCCTTTCTATCGAATAGCGCCCTTATCGACTTCTTCGTCGGCGCTCGAGAAATCTAAAGCCGCTCGATAATCGAAGACACGTCGCCTTCCACGATTCTCGCCAATGTAAAGTGCTGCTGGTTGAAACCACTTAAGCGAGGTTATCGATGTCGATGGTCTTTAATTTACGTCGGCGTCGACCTTGAGCTCGTGTCCGACGCGCTTTGATCGCGCGCTATTTGTAATGGGTATATTTAAGGAAATTGAACTCTCCGTTCGATCGAAATGCTCTGCATGTTAATTAAAACGACATTTCGAAAATATTGAATTTTTCACTCGCGTTTTGTCCGACAGACCGGCTCTCGCGCTACTTACGGCTCGTGCCATTTGCAGCTGAGAGTTTCACAAGAGATACCTCCGGGGGGATGTCGTACTACGAGGATCCCACAGGCAGTCCCGCTCGTTATGTCGCGAAGATTAATTAGAGCGGCGAGAAACGAAGGCGTTCTGTTACCCGAACGTGCGAAAATATTTTTCCCGGTTTCTCTCTTTATTCTTACGGTCGGAGATCAGTGTTCCGGGATGTTTTTTGATGCGTGATCCATCTTCCGGTATCCTTTGTTCTCTCTCTCGCTGTTTCTCGGCAGCTCCGGGGGTGTGGCCCTCCTCTTTTCTCTTTCTCTATTACTATTACTAAATCACTTGCATCGGCGACGGCGTTTCATAATCGCATCCCCGAATGTTATGCGGCACTGTCACAAACGCGGCTTGAAAATCCGTCACGATTTATTCGGCACTCAATTAAGTTCCGCGATTAATTACGCACTTGAAAAGCGGCCGACGCTTCAACGTCACTCGGTAATGAATCGCCGTGCTGCAGTCGACTCGGATATTTTCTAACTTCCGCTGACCTGTAAAGAGAGGTGGATTTTCGTAACTTGTAGACCGGAAGAATCGCGCGGAGGAATCTTTAACGAGAAATATTTTAGTCCGTCGAATCGATTATGATAACTCAATGTAAATTATTGCGAGATTAAAATACGCATAAATTTATTATATTACCGGGGGGGAAATCGAATTTGATTTGGATTTTAAAATTAGTTTGCTAATGCGTTACACAATAGCTCGTAATTGATAACTCAATGTAAATTATTGCGAGATTAAAATACGCATAAATTTATTATATTACCGGGAAATCGAATTTGATTTGGATTTTAAAATTAGTTTGCTAATACGTTACACAATAGCTCGTAATCATAAACCGGTAGTGGGTGACACAAAGCGGTTTATAATTAAACATTAATGTCCACGGGAACAATCAACTTATGTAACTATGGCTAGAAGCGATTACACACAATGCGGAAAAGTATTGTTATTTGGAGTTCTTCGCGCGGAACGAGTAAAATTTTCCATCTCTTGCTTTTTATCTCCTCCGTTAATGTCTTTCGTCGAAATAATAAAGATCAGATTGATTAGCGTCGCATCGGATTATGGAAAGGCTACCGAATCGGTGCGCGATGTCAGCTATAATTGATGACCATAATCCATTCGTCACTGTTGTTCCCGAGCGTATTATCGTCGCAATATTTCGAGTTATCATAAACGTTGAACATCACAGGGATAATTCCTCGTAATTATCCTCTCTATCCGCGCTTTCTTTCTGACACGTAATCTCATTGTGCCCGTCACGTCGGACGCGTAATCTTCTTAACGCGAGCGCGGTTAGTAATTCGACAGCTTATAGAAGATCGGACAAACCCGCGACGAGCGATGGCGTGCAACAACGAGGCCGTTAACGTCGATTGCGACTAATGAGTTAGCTTGTTCATAATTATCGATGGCAGACGCGGCCGCTCGCTCTCACGCCCGGTTATCGTCGTGATACACAGTATTTATCTGCATACCGATGATTAATTAGCGCTGATGACCGCGCCTTTTCAACCGCTGCGGTAGAACATATGTTTGTACACGTTCGTGTATATGTATATGTGCTCTTTAATTCGATGAAATTATCTTCGTATCTTCCCTGTTTTTTTTCGCGAAGAATTCTGGAATATTTATTTATGAACGTATTATTTTATAAATTGATAAGTATCGATCGATGCCAAAAATTTAATATAAATATTGAAATAAATATTTCCTACGTCAATATGCCTGTATGTTGATTAATTTAGTAATATTTTTAAGATATGAATATACATATATAATATATAAAAGAATAAATGTGTGTGTTTACTATGAGAAACTTGATACAACTGTGATTTATAGCGGATATATTTACATCTGTTACTATCTATGTATCAAATCACGTGTTTGCTCGTATTTACGGTAAAACAAAATTGATATCACTCACGGAAATGCATATCAAATCACGCGTTTGTTCGAGTTTACGGTAAAACAAAATTGGTGTCACTCACGGAAACACGATGCATAATTTCCTTTCCCATATCGAACCCAAGTCGTCGCGGTAATTTAAATTTTTTTATTCATCGTTTGGCGTTTTTTTTTCCCGAACGCGCATATTACAGAACGTTAATTGGCGCGAGGAAACTTTGTCGACGCTGTTAGTTTAATATTCGAAGATGCGCGCGAACGCCCATATTTTAGCGTGACGTGGAAAAGTTGACAAGTTAATTTAGCGACCTGCAAGATATACGGCTATCGCTGATAGTAGCTGACTTTTTTCTTGGAACGAACATGCGAATCGACACAGATGCATCTGACAGCTACGTTTCTCGGTAGACATTTCGATCGTGTCTTTCAACATATCGAATCGCCGTGCAGTTGCCGGAATTGTTTTTGACAAAACTTGAGCTCTTGCAAAGAAAAGTTCCATTTATTTTTCCGCTTATAATCGAACTATTTTGTTAAGTATGAACGAGAGAAACACAATGTTGCAGACAATGTTGAGACAAATATTGCAGCGATTATTATTATTTAGTGAAGTCACGCAAAATTATCGTCATCTATACAACAAAGAATTATTGAAAGAAATCATATTTTTTTGTAATAAGTAAGAATAATCTTTAATTACATCTTTTCAACTTATATATATATA